GCCTAAATCCATTTTGACTTCCTTTCTTCCACAATTGGATCGACAACTCTCTGCAATTTTTTTATCATCATCCTCTCTACTTCATCAAATCCTAAAATCTACTATTAGCATCCTCTTAATTACAATATAATTTTTTATATCTTATAAGTAATATTTTTATTTATAAGTATGTTTTTTTAATTATAATGTAATTTTTTGCTTATAAATAATTTTTTTAATTAATATATTTTTATTTACAAGTTAATTTTGAAGAAAATATTTAGGTTAAATAATCATTTTATAAAGGGTAAAATTAAAAGAAAATATGAGAAACGATCAACACATGTCGATTTCTTGAGTTGAGAGAACCGGTCAAATGAGATTATGAAAAATATTCTTGCATTGCTTCGGAAAGGTACTTTTGGAACACAAATAGGCATTAACTGAAAGATACACTGCACCAATTTTGGTTATTTTCAAATCATTGAAAATCGATACTCAAAAAATTAGCAAGTATTGATTTTTCCAACTCATTATAAACAGTGCTACCCAAAAACTGTAAAAAACGATGAAAGAAAAACTGTGTATTCTTGAGAATAATTATTTTGTAGAGGATAATATTTGTTGACTTTGACAAGGATTTATACTAGATTCTAATCCATGCCAAAAAGTGGCTTACTAGATTATAACTGTAATAATAGTTAACAATGTTTGTTAATTTTTATATTTATACTTCTAACTTTTTTACGTCACATTTTTTATTAACTTTTAATAAATTAGCACATTTTGACTCTAATAATAATTTCCATCAAATAGTTTGTTAACGTGCTTTGAAACAAGTGGCAAATATTTTGTAGAACATTTATATTTGTTATATTTCTTTATTATTTAAAAATATGAGGGCCTTTTTATGCCCTTCTAACAGATTTATTGGATGAAATTGTCATCAGTAATAAGATGGGTTAGTTTATAAATTGTTGAGGATGTGATGAGACGAAAAAAATAATTGGAGATATAGTACATAAATGAAAAAAAAGTTGATGACCTTTATTGCAATTAAAATATGATGAAGTCAACGAAAAAAATCTTGTTGTGCATATTATAATTGTTAATAAAATGGATGCTTTTAAGTGAAATTAACGAAAATATTCGAATATTACCATTTTTCATAAAACATAACCATTAATTGGTAGGTCATAGGTGTACAACTTTTGAGGCAAATTTTGAAGGATAATACTACTTGTAAATAGGTTTGGGCAAAACATAAAAAAATCGACCAAACCAATAAAGCGAACTGATTTGGTCAATTTGACACAGGTAATTGATTTGGTTTGATTAAAAAAAAAAATCATGGTGGATTTGTTTAATCATGGTTTGAAGCCTCAAAACCGCTAGTTAATCAAACCGACCAAATTCCTACTTACATATTTACCCTTTTTTAAAGAAAAATTAAAATTAAAAGATAAGCTATAATCTCATAACCATATTTCGATTCCCTCCAATCTATGATGATGCTGGTAAATTATAGCAATGAGAATTTCCTTTCACAAGCTCATTATGTTATACTTGGCATTTTTCCTGTTTAGGCAAACGTGCTACATAATACATAAAAAAACAAAATTCTTAAGTTTTCTATTAATCTCTATTAATCTGATTTTATTCATTAGCCAACAGTTATTGTAATATAAAGTTATTTAATTATTTTAGTTCTTATAATCTAAAAGAGCCAAAAACCTACACGATTTTTTTTTTTCAATTTGGACTAAAAGTTCAAGCTGATTAACCGAATTGAACGAAGTCAAACCAACCCGATTTGGTTTAGATTTGTTCGGTTTAAGAGTTAGAGTGAATTAGTTTGGGTTGTAATTCATCTAAATAGACTAATTTGATTTTGGTTTTGGGTTGGAGTCAAAACCGACCTAAACCAAACCGTGCCGTAAATAATAGAGTTACATAAAAATTTACATATGAATGAAGTGCCAAAAAGAGAGTAGTGATTTTTTTTTTATTTGGTTGAAAAAATTCTGACCAAATCATATACTACTATATCATAGGTATATAAACAATTTTGTAAACTATTATATACATATAGCATAACTGAATTTTGAAATGTTCTAAAGGAAGATTCATTTTTTGTGAGATCATTGACTGGTAAGTTAAACAGTTCAACCAATAAAAGACAGTTTCAGCTCTTTAGCATTGACATTGTCACAGCCCCAAATAAGTTCGATTCTTTTTCATTATTTGATTGTTATTTTTTTAAAATTTAAATCTAAAATGAGAGAGAGAGAGAGAGTTAGGTCCTATTTGGTGCCAGTTGTTTTAAAACTCTTTTTTCTATATCATCATGTTCAACCACATATTCACACAATAAAATATTTTGTATGTAAATTCAAATTTTTTTTTCTATTTTTTAACCACACATTCTCGTAAAAATACTATTCAAAACTTTTTTTTTTTTTAAATAATGAACACCAAACAGGGACTTAGGTTAGACACTTTAACCTTGTAATCTAAAAAAAATAAATCATAACTATCATAATTTAAGATTTCATTTTCAAAATATAGAACTTGTAGAATTTTTTCAAATATAGGTCGTCAATCTATATTATATTTCCTAAAAATTACCTATATATGTATTTATATGAGAGAGTAACATTACTTAAATTGAGAGTTATTAAAGGATAATTGAGCATATTCTCTCTCGTATTATCACTTAAGAAAAGTTAGGCCATGTTCTCTTTATCGTTTTTCAGTCATTTTCTGTTTTTAATTTCTCAAAACAACGAAAACATGTTCTCTATCTTATTTTCGAAAA